TTCTGAAAGCTCAACGAGCGATCACTCTTCGACGACCGTCATCGAATGCACTGTAGTGTCTATCACTGCTGACCACGCAAAAACTCTTCTTCTCAAGGAAATGTCATCAATTGTTTTCGTTTCGTAACTAATTTTACGTTTCTTAACTAGACCTTATATTAATACAACTGAACTGAATTCGAGTAATTATTTGTTCAATTGAACTGATCACAATGACGGATTGTTTGAAAATGATTGGATAAATTTTGTAGATTATTGAAACATAACATTTGCATAAGAATGTGCTCAGATTGAATGAATTACTACAAAATCGGGAGAGATGATTTTTGTTCAACATATTATTATTACGTATTGTATTGTTACATCATTATGACATTGCTATGCAAACCAAATACCGCGGCATCAAAAGGAAATCCTTTTGGACCGGTTAATTGCTCAATGATGTATGGAACAATTGAAAGTGTAACTGTTGGTGGGTCAACTGAACTAAATTAGATCAGCGAAAAATCAGGGAAAACCAAAAAAAAATAATTCGATCAAGTGAAATTTGAGCAAATGAACCAAATAAAGCAAATACCCAAACGGCTTGTGGTAAGTATTTCAGATTTCCATTAAGGATGGCATCGCTATCGTCCACCTGAGATACGGCATGCACCTGAAACAGTGAAAAGACTAAAATGTGATGCTGAAGAAAGTAAAAGAAACTTTTTTCGTTTGTTCCGATTGCTTCTGGTTTTGGTACTTCACTGAGAGTCCGTTACTTCGTTTGGGCTTGTTACTTCAACGCGCAACAGGTCATGCCATAATAGTAGCACGATCAATTGAAATTCACGAAAAATTATTGGAACAATAACGATAGCTTTACGATGATTCTGGGAATGTTATGCACTCGCTTACCTGATTCACGTCTTTCATGCGATGTCGCTTTGCTTCGGGCAGTTCTCTGGCAAAAGAGAGTATTGGAAACGCAGTGAAGAACGCAAAAATCGCAGATGCGAGGAAGCCCAGCCACCATGCGCCAACCCATCGGGGATCAGAGGAATCCTTGAATGGGACTCTAAAAGTTGGAATCTTTGGAAAAGACACGAACAGGAGCAGAGTCCTTGGAAAGAAAACTTGGAAAAGGCCAAAAGGAATCTTTGATGCGATTCATTTAAGTTCGTAGACTGCTCGAAGATAAGTGAATTCCTGTATTAATTACTAAAAACAGATAGAGTGGATGAAAGTCTCGGCTACAGGATCATGCAACTTTGTTGATATGTAACGTAAAGAATTCAGCAACCTACGTAGACATATCGACCCGATCGAAATCAGTATAAATCGTTAACAAAAAGCCTCCAACAAACAGGCCGATCACTGGGCCAATTGATGTTACAACGGCGTGAATCGCTGAAAATTACATTCATGCAACAATACATCATAGCTTTATGTTTTCTCGCAAATTCAAAGTTTGATTGCAATTTTATGAAGGCTTAAGTGAAGATTTTGTAAATGCATCAATACTTCAACTCAAAACGGTGGAATATAATTTTGAAATGATGGAAATAATCGTCAAGTCTCACTGCTAATCGACAGAGCAAATGAAGGAAGCAGTGCATCAAGTCATTACCCAAATAAACAGGAGATGCTTTCTGTGAGACGTTCTCGTCCAAGTATACGGTTCCAATTGAAAACAGTGGTGTAGCACCGATTCCGTGCAGGGTCTGTCCAAGAAGAAACATCAAAAAGTACGGATTCAAATAGGATGCAGGCTCCGTATCGCCTTTCACACATTCTAACGCCTTTTCGTCCCTGTTATAATGGTTTTTTTTGGCGATGTTCATAGCAATTCAAGAAACGAGAATGGAAACTGCGAAAAGTTAAATCGCAAGCAGCTACGAGATTTTAACTTCAGCAGTGAATACCGCGTTCGATTTTATATCAGATATCGATCATTGATATTTAAGATTTGATTTGACCTTTAATGCGACTGAAGATTCGCATTTGGCATGGTCACTCATCCACAACTTCAAACAAACTAAGCTAGTCAATTGTATGTGCAAACCGTTATGATGTTTTTTTGGAATATCATGAATAATACGAATACTTTTGAATGCTTGTGTAAGAATATTCATTGTATTTGTTTCTGAAGCATCTTCAAGATATTCACTGTGCTCCAATCAACGAATCAGTGAATCGATCGAGTAATAGACAGATGAGTCTTACGATATGAAAATGATGACCACGAGAAATTTCGCAAAAACTTTGAATGCAGTCTTATCGTTAGTCAATATTTCCTATCTAGTCTGTTCATGAATGCAAAGTCGAAGTCAGAAAAACTTTGCTGTATTTGAGTTTTTCAGCAGATGATTGCTGGATTAGCTTATTGCTATGAATTATTTGTAATCTGGAATCAGAATCACTAGCAATTCAACTGTAAATAAAATGTGAAAGAAGCAAGTGAACTCGAAGCAGTGCAACAGCAAATTGAGTGATTGATATCTCTGCCCAATACCTCAATGTGCATTGTCCATAATCACTCTCGTTAAGTCCTGCACCATTCACGCGATACGGAGTGATCATAAAATGTGGTAACGCACAAATAAATGAGCCTAGACCCATCAAAAACGTTCCAATACCGATCCAACGCCCCTTATGACCTATAATCACTGACTTGATCACAGCCATTTCTCACACCATTCAACTCAGTGATACCAGTGCGATTTCATTGCCAACACTGATGGCTTTAAAAAAAGGTGATATTTAAGTTAGAATCAAAACGAGTTGGCTGTATTCAAAGAACTGACCCGTATTTCCCCAGTTACAAACCGGGAACACTGCGATAAGCACTGCAAAATCGTACCAACTCGAGATTATCCCAGTTTGAGTACTGAAAAATATTCG